AAGGTTTACTTGCCTGCCCACTACGGATACCCATTCAGAGCTTGGCCATTGCCAATACGTACAAGATATTCACTCCCAACCAGCGCCAGAATGGAAGCACATGCTTGCTGACCTTACGTACCTTTCCTCATCCTAGACCCCTTCCCTACCTTCTTGCCGATGGGCCTAGTCTCAGCGTGATATTCTCCCTGCCCACCCCAGGCCGATGTTGAACGAGCCTCCCAAGCACCTGGCCTTGCCATACCTTACCTTGCCTGTGGCCGTCCGTTTGCCTCTGCACTCCTTCCTTCTTCTTTCTCCCCTTTCCCTCCCCCTTTCCCTCCTTTTCCTCTTCTCCTTCTCCCCGCCTCCGTCTGCCATCAGCCTACTGGTCGCTGACGCCTGTCGTGGCTCGTTATCGTCGCCATCTGTTCTGGACTAGGGTCAGTCTTCCGTCCGCCCATCCATCCACGCATTTTTTGGGTGAACAGGCGGCGCATTCTCGATCGCCGGGGGTTGGAGACACTTTAAGGAATTCAAAACCCAGAACCTGCAGGAAACACCACCAAGGGAAATCGGGCGCGTGGGCAGTTGCAACTTTTCTATCTCCTGGTCCAATCCGATTCGTCTTGCCCCCAAGTTCCAACGCAGAGAGATAAGGCCAGCGGATTTTTAGGACAAGATCAGACAGCACGGACCCAGCTGACTGCTAGCTCATTCGCCAATGACGCCAGTTACACGCTCTTATCTGATCCTGGCCGCTGTCATTACCTGAAAGGCGTGTATCATCGCATCGCATCCCATTGCTCGACTGGTCTCGCTTGCTCCAAACCCCAACCCCAACCCCGGGAACCACTGGCAACATTGCTTTTTATCTAGCCATTCCTCCAGCCTGTCGCCCGCAGCAAGCCTTATCTCCCTCCCACACTCTCTCGGATCTGCGCCCGCAGGTCCCCATCCAAGCCATCCAAACGCAGCCACTAAATTGCACTACCTGCTTCGTGCATTTCCTATCTCCGTTATCATCCATCCCCCTTCAACCCACTCTCTCATCATCATCCCGGCCAGAAGCCCTCACTCACGCGTCGTCTTGTTGCTGCGTCTGCTTGTGCACGTCTTACAAGCCAGCCCACCTCCAAATAACCCCCGGTTGGTTGTGGGGCCTGCCCGATAAGCACTTCCCTGGAAGCTCTTCCAGCACCACAGCTGCTATCCAACCGGGATTCCAAGACCAATCGTACACCAGAATTGCTCTCTTGGGGGCGTCTACGAGGGCACGAGGGCAGCACTCCCACCCCCCTTACGTATCTATCAGGGCAGAGGGCAGAGTGACAAAAAAAAAATTGGAGACGAGCTGCAGCTGAGCGTAAGATACATTACAATCTTAGGGCAGCCAACCTAGCATCCTCCCATAATGAACCATATCAACACCGTCCAGAGGACGGCCCCTATCCCCATTGCCCCCAAGCCTCCTCGAATAGAAACCGCCGCTCAACGCCAGGATAATCTGCGTCGTTTTGAGATTGGATCGGGGAGCTTGCATGCCAGGGCGTCAACCGACTCCGCTTCAGCCCCGGCCTCCTCAGCTCCCATCAACGGTCAATCGGTGCCGCCCTGCCAGGCTTGTCAATACTCAGGCACCCGGTGTATTCTGAGTGAGGATGATGAGACTTGTATGCCGTGCCAAGTCAATGCCACAGAGTGCTCGCTATCCTCATCAACTTCGAGCCCCCAGTCCCGCAAGAGGAGGATCAACGGGACCGACACACCATTGGAAATGATTGGGAAAAGAAGGTTAGTCTTTTGCCTCAGTGAAAAACGAGCCGAGTCCCCCCCTTCCCGCTCACATTGGCACGCATTTCATCCTGTCCTTTCCTGTCCCGCTCTGTTCTGCTTTGCGCTGTGCGTTCTGTCCTGCCCAGCCCTGTTGTTGATCTCTTCCGCCGTTGTTCTATTCCCACCACTACGTAATCACGTCCGTTCGTTCTATCTACACCCCCCCTCTAAACCTTTCGCCAATCCCAGTCGGCAGATTATTGTACTTTGAAACCCAATGGCTTACACATGATTGGCTCTGCAGCTCTCCCGGTAATAGCATATCCAGGAGACGAAACCAAAACTCAAGTCTCAGCCTCTCCAGCACGGCCGCTAGCAGCACATTCCTTGAGGACATGGCCAACGTTGGTGGTCCCACAATGCTGAGCAGGACTCTTGGTCTACAGACCGATCGCTTCTGCCAATATATCGGCCCCACAACTGACTTCGAACCGTCTCTCATCAACCTATCTTCTTTTGATCCGCAGGACGAGAGCTTGCTCGCCAGGGGCACACTACGAAAGGTGAGTGATAACGATACCTTCTTGATGCTCCCAGATCACAATACCCCGGGTCACGAGCACGTGATTCAAGACTTGGACGACATCGAAGGTATCGTGGCGCCCCACGGACGAAAGCTGATCGACATATACTTCCGCGTTGTGCATCCTGGGTTCCCCATTATCCAAAAGCATGTCTTCTTCGAGAAGTATGAACGGTCTTATCGCGAATTTTCGCCTGAAATTCTGGCTGCTGTGTACCTTCTTGCCATTAACTGGTGGGAGCACGACGAGGAGCTCGCCCACTTACCTAGGCCCAATGTAAGGGAACTCGAGAGACTCATTCGAACTTCGTTAGCGGATGCCATCTACAGACCGAAGCTTTCAACTGTCCAGGCTGGGCTTTTGCTCTCTCAACGACCCGAGGGCGACCAATGGGCACCTACTGCGCAGCTCGTCGCCACTGCGCAGGAGCTCGGGCTCCATCTGGACTGTTCGACTTGGAAAATACCTCTCTGGGAAAAGGGGTTGAGGAAACGACTCGCATGGGCTTTGTACATGCAAGATAAATGGGGCGCACTGGTTCATGGCAGGCCATCGCACATATTTTCGGCGAATTGGGGCGTCCAGAGTTTACGAGCCAACGACTTTCCTGATGTAGAGTGGGACGAGGACGATGTGGAGGAGAAGCAGGACATCGAACGAGGCAGGCTTGTGTTCACGCGTGTGGTTCAACTCTCCGAGATCCTTTCCGAGATCCTCGAAACATTCTACACACTGAATGCCGAGCAGAATGTGACGGAAGCTGGTGCACAGGGAACGCAGCTGGTCCTCTCCCTGGCCAAGCCAATCCAGTTGAAATTGAAAGATTGGTATGGGAACCTTCCAAATAGCATTCGACTGGAGTCTTCTTCTTCAACATACAGCACATCGAGCCAGATCAACTCGAACCGGTTTTCCAGCATTGGGTACCTTCACTTGGCGTACTTTGCCGCCGAAATCACTCTTCATCGACGGATCATCCGATCTCTAGCAGCATCTGGGGCAGCCGTGGACCCTTACGTCCAGCACATCTGCCGAAGCGCCGCCAAGGCCCGATTGATTTCGGCCATGGACTTCGTAAATCGCATGGGCCCAAGCCACCTCCGCTCCTTCTGGTACTTCGCTTCCAAAACCAACTTTGCCCTCATCGGCACCTTTGGCTCTTTGCTATGGGCCACCTCGCCAGGACGTGAAGAAGCCGAGTGGTACAGGCGTCGGTTGGCAGAATACCGCTGGACACTTTCGGTCAGCTCCAAGCCAGGTGAGAGCAAAGGCCTGACTGACTTTGCCATGACTATGCTGGATATCTCAACCGGGCTGCTCAAGCAGCTCCCTGAGAAGCCTTCGATGAGTAGGAGCGCCAGTGCAGTCGACTTCTCTTCCATGTCTGCTCCTGGTTCCTTCTCTGGGCCGGGAAGCACCATGGACAATTTCAGCAACATCGCAAGTGCTGATGTTAGCGGGGTTCAGAGCCCCGAAAGTACGAGGTACAGCAGTGATGATGATATGGACGATTATCCAACGAGAATGTAATTTTAATACATATCATTGGTGGGGTGTGTGATCGCATAGCGTCCGACACGTGGGAGTTCTCATGATCATTTTTATGATTCGGGGTTTCTGGTTACTTGTTTTCATTTTTGGGCTTTCTCATTTGTGACTCAGGATGATGCATCAACAGCATTGGGTTCTTTCTATTTTCTCTTCTATTTTATGACAATGATGGGTTTCTATGATGACGGATCGGAGTATAGAGAGACAAGGGGAAACCAAAAGGTGGGTTAAAGGCATTGATTCATGACTTTGAAAAGATTTTTTGGAAAGACAATATGGCAATATGAGAGCAACTTTCTAATATTTTTACCTTGGTATCCTACAATCTTGAGTTGGCCACCCATGGTCTAGTGACTAGTACTTAAAAGCATCCATAAGTTTAATCCATTGATGAGCACCATTTGTTCGTCAGCCTCAAAGAAACCAGCATAAAATGGTTAAACATAGATGTTTCATTGTCAAGGCAAAATGGCAGGCAAAATGGCAAAAAAATCAATCGCTTCATATAGGAACAGCCCGATGCGGGGGTCGAACCCGCAACCTTGAGATGTGAACTCGTAAGAGTCTCACGCTCTACCGATTGAGCTAACCGGGCACCTTTCCGGTGCTTGTTTGTTGAAAGGTAATCGCCGAAGCGTAATATAAGAATCCTTCCGTGGATTTTGCTTTCGTGCGAAGGATTTAGAGGTTTGTGAGTGGGGTGCGACCAGGCGAGAGCCAATAAGAGATGGAAATAATGCGGTCGTGTGGGTAAGCATTTTTGAGGATTTGATTGGTAGCCGGGTTCTAGAAGAGACCCACTCTACATACGCGAGGTACCCTGTACTACCCGTTCGGGAGCCACAGCGCGGGACTGGGTGAGTTTATATCCTCTCCTGGGAATATTGGGCTGTTTCAGGAGGGCAAGGCGCGGCTGAAACACCTGTCCTTGTCGGGCACCATCCCTCCGAATTTCCTTGCTTGGCAACCCCGATTGCCAAATCCAAGACGTTCGCTCAGAAGAGTAAACTTTGGTTCTCAGAGGATGCAACTGCAACTGTGTCTTATCTCCTTGCCTTCTCGCCTCCGCATCTAAGGTGCACTTGAAGAGGCAACGTGGAATAACACATAATGGCCAACAAGAAAAAGGCCCAGGCCCCCAAGGAGAAGGGAGAGTGGCCCGCTGGCCGGAAGTCGCCAGAACAGCCCAGCAGCCACAAGAGGCCAGATGCTGCGGCAGAGGAGCCTGATACTGATCTCGCTCAAATCACGAAGTCCTTCTTCATCCTCAGTGTGCTGGGCGTGGCATCATGCGTCTCCCAAGCAGGTCTCTCCCCAGTATTTGGCGGCATTCCAACGTCGATATACCACTCCTACCCCGTCATGGCGGGATGTTTCCTGGGCTGGGCTGGGAATGTGGCTTTGGGACAACTCCCTTTCAAACCAGCCGATGCCCTGCCCATCATCGCACTTTATCTCCCGACAGTGCAGTTCTTTCTGTCCAGGTACAGTGACACCCTGGGCAACCCCTGGGGCCCAGTTGTGATTGAGAGCTTGACTCTCTTCCCTCTTGCACTCTTCTCTGCGGCCTCGGTTGCAGACTATCTGGAGGGGGTGAAAATCCCCATGCTCCCAAAGGCCTTTGGCGATGCGGTTCCGGGGATGGGTTCTTGGGCAGTGTTCAAATTCGTGGAGACTCTGTTCCACGCCCATCTGCCCCTCATCGCCTCCAAGGGTTTCCTCTACACCCGCGTGGGGCTGAGCTTGGTGATTGGGGGGCTGTACACGCTCTTCTCCCCGTCAAAGTACATCGTGCTAGCCGTGCCGGCGCTGCTGCACACGGCCCTGTGGAATACCAATGCGATGATCCCGGCAGCGACGCAGAGGCTGAATAACACTCTCCTGGCGGACAACTGGATGCTCTTGGATCGAAGGGAGTCCGTGACTGGCTACCTGTCGGTCCTCGAGAGCGTCGACAGGCATTTCCGAGTTATGCGGTGTGACCACAGCTTGCTGGGTGGGCAGTGGAATGTTGCCAACGGCCTCAAGGTGCCGGAGCCCATATATGGTGTCTTCGTCATGCTGGAAGCTGTCCGCCTTGCCGAATCGCAGCCCAAGGTTGCTGACACGGACGCAAGTGCGCTTGTCATGTAAGTTTCTCCCTCTCCGAATTCGTTTGAAGTATCGAGATCGGCTAACCATGCAATCGGTGCAGCGGCCTTGGAATTGGAACCACTCCATCCGCGCTGGTGTCTCACGGCATTGACACCACCGTGGTTGAGATTGACCCTGCTGTGCACGATCTTGCTGTGAAGCACTTTGACCTCAAGCAGAACCGCGAGCCGGTTTTGAAGAATGCCGTCAAATACACGGCTGGCCTTGTTGAGCAAGGCAACCAGACCTTCGACTACGTCATTCACGACGTCTTCACCGGTGGTGCCGAGCCGGTAGATCTTTTCACGCTGGAGTTCCTTGAAGGCTTGAGTGCCCTTTTGAAGCCCGATGGCGTAATTGCGATTGTGAGTTGAATTCAGCCCGACACTACGCCACGCATCGTCTTTTGATTAACCTTTTGCTCTTTAGAACTACGCTGGAGACTTCAAGCTCCCGGCTCCCAAGGTCATCGTCAACACGATCACAACTGTCTTCCCGACCTGTCGGTTCTTCCGTGAGAGCGCCGTCCAGGAGACATCCAAGGAGCAAGATGGCACCGACTTCACCAACATGGTCATCTTCTGCAAGAAGACCGAGGAAAAGCTGACCTTCCGCAAACCCGTCGCGCAGGACTTCCTCCGGAGCCGCGCTCGCGAAGTATTCCTCGAGCCCAAGAACGAGGTTCAGCAGGCTGATCTGTTCGGGGACAATGATGACGCCCAGCTCCTGAATAAGAACAACACTGACATGATGACTGGGTGGCATCACACCAGCGCTCTCGGCCATTGGACTATTATGAGACAGGTCATCCCGACCAAAATTTGGGAACTTTGGTAAAGGATGAAGGAATGGCAGGAGGTCCATGCCGTTGAAATCAGTCTGCCTTGTCTTTTCCATCATCCATTCAAAAGTTACGCTAGAGAATATAAGGATAATTATGTATGTATATTATATCTCGCCAAATGCGCGCTAGAAGCATTTACACACCCAGGAACATAAGATCATCAAAAACCCCATCCGCATAAATAAAAGTCTTTACTTCTTATTCGCCGCATTGAGACTGTGCTCTCTCCCGTCCTCATTGAAGCTACTCCTGTAGTCCGCGATATACCCCGGCAGGTCGACCTTGTTGTTCGGCCCGGGGAGCGGCTCGCCGATGGTCTGGTAAACGGGCAGGACGCCCGTCCAGATGCTGCCGACGGCGTCCTCGTTGTCCAGGTCGGCCTTGGGGTCCTCGGCCTGGCCGTCGCGGACCTTGGAGCTGGCGGAGGCGACCTTGACTTTGAGCAGGGCGGTGCTCTGCAGCTCGGCGGGCGTGACGGGCAGGCGGCTGTGGCGCCAGCGGTCGGGGACGACGCTGTTGGTGATGAGCTCCATGGCCCAGAGCTTCTCGGCGGGGTCCTGGACGAGGGTGGCGTGGCCGAAGAGGACGGCGGAGCGGTAGTTGTAGTTGTGGCTGAAGGAGGAGAGGGCGAGGACGAGGCCGTCGACGTGGGTGGCGGAGGCGCAGACGGGCATGCCGGCGGGCTCGTCGCCGCCGCCCTCGCGGCTGAGGTTCATGAGGCGGGAGGAGACGTAGCCGTGGACGTAGAGGTCCAGGGGGTCCCCCTCGTCGGCGCTGGGGCGGTCGAAGGAGCCCATCTGGCCGATCATGGGGAGGATGACGGGGAAGGGGGAGTTGGGCGGGTTGAAGGAGACGTTGACGAATTGGGCCGAGTTTACGATTCCATGGATGGTTCTTAGGGAGTAGCTCGCTGAGGGTGGGTTGTTAGATTGAATTCATGAGATGGTAAACGGATTCGACAATTCGTCGTACGGACCTAGTTGGTTGTATCGTTTGACGGAGTTGTCCTTGTCCTTGGGATACTCCAGTTCATAGCGTCCCATTTTCACGGTATTTGGATAGAGGATGAGATATTCTTAACTACGATGAGAGGAATCGCCTGTTCTTTCAGATGAGAATGGATTGTAGTCTAGATATAAAGCAAGATTGTTCACTATCTAAAGGGATCCAAGGAAGCGAAACATGTTATATACACGCTTAAATACAAGCGCATGCACAACCTAACGGCTCTCCGCGTATAAATGCAGAATACGGATAGCTACAGCGAGTCACGACACCTCTTGGAGATAAGAACCCGTTGGCGTCATTAGCAACTCGAGGATGGTTATTGGACGCCCTTCACCGGGCCGTCGAGAGATAGATGTGTGGGGTTGGAAGGCGGGGTTGGCAAAAGTTGCCGGCCCGGAGAGCTGAGTCCGATAACTGGACTTGGGGAGTGCGATGATGCGGTATACCTAGAAGCACATTAATTCCAAAAGGGAAAAAATAGTCCATCGTAGGTTTCCCTTTCCAGAGAACGGTTGTTGTATGTTGGCGGTGACTTGGATCTGGCCTTTGCTATCACGGAGAACCCCCCACTATACCGGACCGGACCAGGGAGAACCAACCGAGCGCAATACAAGAATATCCAATATATGTATGTTGGTCGGTAGGTCGTACTAAAATTATCAGACTTTGGCGCCCAGTGACTCCTCGCAAGTATTATTAAACCAGCGGGCGGCAAGAGCTCGCCATGGCAGGTAAGTGAAACGCACGCGGTTAAGGGAGAGCTCCCTCCCAATCAAATGCCTGCTCTCGCTTCAGGACGATCTGCAGCATTCATGCAGGCCCCCAGTAGCCCTGCCATTTAGCTCTTCTCACGGGGCAGTTCGCTGTGTCCAGTCTAGTGCAGGAAGTAACAGCATCGCACTTGCTTGAAGGGGGCATTGATCGAAACAGACTTGTAACACCAGCAGGCGCCAGCTTCGCACCTTCCCGTCCGCCCAATGGCACCGATCCATGATGGCAGCAGCGACCAGGCAGAACCTAGGTAGGTACTAACCAACCTACAAGCATGGAATCGTCGTTCTTGCCTCATGAGGAACAATTGCTGTCTTGGCACCTGTAATCTTGGATAAAGCGAAATCGCCTACTTCGGGCTCCACCCTCCCGCTCAACCACCGCCTAATTTGCTGCCGCCATCAGGTGCTTCCGGTCGGACTCCCATCAGGTGGACGGAAGCAAGCGTGTATCGTATCTTGCTGCCAGGGCCAGGCCAGGGCCAAAGACAGATCGTGGAAATTAAGCGTGGCGGCGGATCAGACTTGCACGCTCACCCGTCACGTCGCGTCACTTCGCATCATCACATTGCCCAATGGAGCAACTGGCCACGGGCTCGCTTGGGGTTGTTTCTGCTGGCAGAGCGCAGTTTTCGATGTGGCCCAATCTCCCTGCAGCTGGCGGCTAGCTAAGGCACGATGCCAAGAGCGCAGCCCTCTTCAGCAACGCTGCTGCTCCATTCGATTCTCTCCAGGCTCCAGGGACCAGGCTAGTCTGCCACCAACAACGGTTTTGCACGTCCGCGATGCTCCCGATGCAGATCCACGCTCTGGCACCAGGCCAGGGTGCGGTGGGTGCGACCTGCTACGCGCTGGGTTTCATGTAGGGCCGCCTGAGCCCCCAGATCGCGGCGGCACTCCCGAAATCCCTGTACCGCCCAATCATGCTACTCGCCAAGCCCAACATGGGACGACGACGCAGACGAGCCACCCCGTATGCTGTATGGGTAACAGTCTTGTTTGAGGTCGGCTCTCTGTTCCAAGATGAAGTCGGTAGACAATTCACCAGATGTCCTCAGAGGGGCCCATCCGCCCGCCTAGTACCTGCTCAGACACCCATGGCTAGGTGGGAAGCCTTGTATACATACTCACGTCCGCGCCCATCGCGGCACATGCGCGCAAAGGCCTCCCCTTTCCTTTGCTGCTTTGCTTTGCTTGGATTTCTTCTTTCCTTTCATTTCTTTCAAAACTACTGGCTTGATGCCGAGTAAAGGCGCTGGTTTGGTAGATACGCCTGCCTACGACTCCCAAAGGCGCAGCGTGCTTGAGGCCGTCATGAGTCCTTCGTTCTGAAACTCCTTTTTCGCAACCACAGTCGTTACACAGTTAGCACTGAAACCCATTGATTGGGCATTTCCTTCTGCCTTCGGCTTTGTCTTTCATTAACATCATATTCGGTTCTGGTCGCCGTCTAGCTAGCTGGCTAGCGTTGTTACGGCTGCCATGCCTGATACAATAATCGATGCTGAGCCTTTGATCGCCGCTTTCGCCTTGTACGTCCCGGGAATCCGTCTGGCTGGAGAAGTGGCTTCATGGTCCGCTAGCATGACACTGAGCTAATCCTGTGATCCTTAGTGGCATCGTCGTCAATGCGGCGTTGGTTTTGAGCTTAGGCCTCATTACGAGACATGGGGTGTTGCTGTTCCGCGACGGCGTGAGGCTGGCCCTCTTTGCTTTCGCTGTCGCATCTGGGCTGTGGGGGCTCTTTGGCTTCGTTTCCATGAATGTCGCATCCCCATCTGGCTGCCAGGCCTCCCTTGCTTTTGCCGTCGCCTTTGATCAGGTCGCTCGCATTTCTTTCGAACAGTTCCTTCTCTGGAAAATCATTCCCTCCTCCACCCTTTCTTTCAAATCTGTGATACCCCAGATCATTCTTTTCGTCAGACTCATCCTTGGTGCAGTCTTTGTCGGATTTCAACGTCCACAGTTTGTGGGTGTCTGCATCGCTCACACCCTTGTCCTGCCTCTCGGTATTACTGTCATTTGTGTCGATGTGCTCTTGGTCGTTCTGTTCTTCGCAAAGCTTGATTGGACTGGCTCGGCTCGGAAGGAGCTCAACGGAGACTGGGAAATCTACAGAAGTCGATCAATAGCTGTGAGCATCGCTGGTTTTGGTCTATGGACGGTGGTAGGTTGAGTACTATCTTGATGCATAAGACCATCGATTGCTAATGGAACCTCACAGTTCAGCATTCCTTTGGAATTAGGAATTGCCTCGTTATCTCTGCTTCTACGCACCGGACTGCCTTCACTAGGCCTTTTCATTCTCATCAGTATGCTCATGCCACTGCAATATGTGCCGCCCCAGGCTAACAGTAATGCAGGCATTATTTCGTTCTTCCGTGACCCCCTCCTTATTGCACCAGGCGATATGGCTCCAGAATTTCTTGACGGCGCATCAGCTAGGGAGCACCGAGTGTCTGCCCAAATACATAGTATGCCTAACCCAGGTTTACTTCCTATCGCGCGTTGGGATAAGTCGATGTCACCTTCAAACAACAATGACGAAATGAAGGAGAAATCAACTGTCGCCACTCGACATGCTGAGGTAGAGTCTTCAAGCTCTAGCTTCAATGTGGCCGGGGCTGGGGAGCTGGCAGCAGGCCCGTGGGACATCGAAAAGGGGCCTGTCGGGTCACACGATGCGCATCCGCGAAATTTTCAGTCTCATTCTGCCCGCGATCTCTCGATTTCACAAGCTTCGCCCTCCAGCACACCCAACATTAAACACAAGATCCCCGTTGTCATCACAACGTCGCCGCAAATCGACGACGATATAGCCTTCGTGTCAAGCTTTAGCTCTGAGCCGACTTCAACTGAAAGTAAAGATGCCAGAGCCTCATGGACTGCTCTAGAGTTCGCAGTCCAGGACGATTTGCGCCAAAGGTCCTCCTCCCAGCCCTTGTATCCACCATCATTGAAAGGGAACATGTTCCCAACACCTCTTAACATTTCAAGATCCAAAACCATGAATGAAAGGAGCCGCGTCATGCAAAGGAACATGCCAGTGCGACCGGATACCTGGGATCTCTTGGAAATTCCTCGTGGCAAGAGAAAGCGATTAGCGGAGACCAACACCAACAAACCATCAGAAGACATCCGACGATCGACAAGCCCTGCAGCCAAGAATATCGAAACACTCCCATCTTCACTACAGCCTCCTGAAAACGACATCAATCGCCATACCTGCGCCAGCTCCACATTCACAGCATGGCCTGGAAACGTACCAGCTGGTTCTGTATCTCCACCATCAATATCATTCCAGTACTTCACACGAGGAGTTCAGGGCTCTCCTGAGGCCCAGAGGCTTCAAAACGTTGACGAACCCGAAAACGATAGCAACTCGAAGCCTTTGCCTCCATGCCCTGATCAGGAATCATCTTCAATCGCATCTGACAACTTTCAATTACAACTCAATCTAGCACCTACTGGAGAGTCCGACAAGCTCACTTTTTTTTCACCTGGCGATGTGGCTCAAATTCTGTCACCTGCAAATGGCCGCGAAGTCCACCCTCCCGTATCACCATTGGATGAAAGCAACCACTCTCTACGCGTTTCGGAAACTACGAATGAGATCAAAGATCGCAACTTGCATGAATACGCATTCGCCCAGCAATACGAATCAGTGGTCGATAGACCCAGACCTGTTCAAAGAGACATGACACGCGTAGAAGCTCTGGATTTGCAGAGGTCAAAACCATCAGTTCATACACCGAAGAGATCTCACTCCTGTGGTTCAGCTCGATCTCATACACCAACTTCTTCCCATAATAACGATGCTCAGAAAACGACACCTGCACTACTTCCAAAACCAAGCAGGGAATCTCTTCAAGCACACCTACATCGGACCGGTTCAATGACGGTTGAGGAAAAGATGGGCAAGTTTTTCCAAGTCCCATCAGGTAACCAGGGCCTCTCTGTCACAGAAAAAAGGAAATCGAGATCCTTGCCCGAAGTGCCTGGCGCTCGCATGGAATCTGAAGAAATTATCAGCCAGGCTGCAACGCAGCGGCAGAGGATTTCCCAAGCGCGAAGAGACACGAGCGACATCGACCATCAGCAGCAGGACAGAAACTCCTACGCCTCCAGAAACAGACTTGTATCCAGATATTCATCCTACTTGTCGCCAAAAGTCGAGGCGACGGCCGCTTTCCCTCAGCCTTCTCCTTCCCCGCAACGAACCTCTGAAGTACCATCAACAATTCGAGGGGCATGGAAAGAAGACGATATCACCACAAATTGGGGCTCAATCCACTCAGCAGTGAATGGAATTAGCCTGGAGCCGGTCAGAGCAGTTGAGGTCATGCATTCTGCAAGGCCAAGCGCCACGCCTGGGATTGAGGATCAGGATGACATCTATGGAGAGGCCGCAGCTGAGGATGAGTCGACCTCATCAGAGGAATTTTATATTGAAGATCACACCTATGATCTTCAGCATGAGTTAGAAGACTCGATCTCCCAAAGACACGTACCCAGAGTCACCTTCCCGTTGTGGCATTACAGAGTTGGAGACCGCTGCTCAACGTTTACTCGTCGACGACAGATGCCAGAAACTCGCAGGGCACCTCCCCCTTCAGCGTTAGACCTTACCAAGCCACCAAAGCCTTTGTGGATATTTGCAGCTGAGCCGTCGCCCCTGGAATCTCCGGGGCACGCGCTTGAAATGCTTCAAGAACAGCTGAATAAATTGGAGGACGATATCAATAGTGTCTCGTATGATACCAACCAGCCAAACACCGATGATGAAATCGATGTCAGTGCCTCCAGGTGTGACTGGCAGACCATGTGGAATGTGGTCGACGTTGACTCGCCCTCATATTCAATTGGTGGTAGCGATTTTAACGAAACCCCTGAACCTCTATGCATCCCAAGCGCTCGTTCCGAGAAGCTAGATCTTGGAGATAACCCGAGATCATCGCGCTTGACTGTTGTACCTCCAGCCAACCAACCTCGCGGCCTTCCTTCTCACTCTCCAAGGGTCACCAAGACAACTAGCCTCACCGTGTACTCTGTCAGGCCGGATCAATTTTCTTCACCCACGCCACCTGACTCGGACGATTCCGACAATAGCGTCATCGAAGTCCCCCTCGTCTATGCTGATAGCGATGAGGGCCTCGAGAAACCGCGGCCAAGCAGATGGACCATCACAGCCGCGCCACCAAACAATGGCGAGAATCAGGTAATACCGGGCATCCCAGCCAGCCGGGGAAAAGAAAAAATGTACCAAATTCCCACGAGGAAAAGTATGGGCGCACCAAGTAATTCAAGGATAGACCTGACACACCTGGAACGTATCCCTACATCTTATATACCAGGAGATAACTTGGCTTTGTAACTAGAAAATAGAAGAAAATTAGCAAAAAAAAAAAATTTAAATTCAAAGTATGAAAAAGTACAAGTTCTTGCTGTGAGACGTTTCACACATATCAGATCGAAAATGAACAAGGCCAGCAGTTTTCTGGGAAATTATACTCCATTAGAAAAAAAAAAAACTTGAAATCACAATCATGCATCTTCCAGAAACCGTTCGTTTTGGTTGGTTGTCATAAACTCTATCCATGCATTCGTTAAAAGGAAAAAAGCATCAACTATGCGCCAATGTTACGTTGAGCTCCCAAATGCTCCCCTTCCCCAGTACCGTAAAACCATGATCCAATCCCTAACTGAGGCTTTGCCGTTCCGGCCGTGCCTCTGTCTTCTCTTCTTTTTTTTTCGTGTACCTGTAAAGAAAAACTCATAATTTCAAGCGCCTGTGGAGCGCCGATGAATATTCGTAAAAAAGAAAAAAGTTGTCCAGGTCAGTCCAGTTGGCATCGACAAAGGCGATCGATGCCCATCCTCGTCAACGACGTTGAGACCACAGTGCTGAAACCTGTTCTTGGTTCCATCACTGTGATTTGTTCTCTTTTTTTCCCTGTTTCCCATCTCTCTCATGTGGACCGTGCCGCTCAGCACATCCGAAGCATTACCTCCTCTCTCCCGGCCCCTCTTTTACCGAATTCCTTTAAAAGACATAATGTAATGGTGATGGTGGACCCTGTTGTGGTTCACATAATATGAGACTTGAAAGAATTCCTCAGATGCCAAGCCGGCCCTCTATACCTACACGCACAGGAGACCCCGGCGCCGCAAAAGACAGTGAGGAGGTGGCGTTGCGAGACAGCTGCCAGCCGCCCGCTGCCCGTCTCCCTTCCCACACCTTCGTCTATTGGGCCGAACCGATGACAAAATGGGAAATCATAAGTTTGTGATCGTGAGAGACCGTCGCTATGCAAACAAATGAAATATAAGACATAAAGTTGTTGTACAGTGCTCCTCTCAACACCGAAGAGAGTTTCGGGGAAATTTTTAAGTGTGGAATCGGAATTATTCCATGCCAGTGTGGCGCCATTATTTAACTTTCATCATTTGCATTCGCCGGCCGAGGCCAGAAGAAGGCGAATGCTGCGGTGATTTATCATCAGATACGTTACTCATGCGACGGGGTGGGCTTGAAGCGGGATCTTCAAACATCCGTGTGAAAGCGGGACTCGATTCAAGATATCGTTCGTGTCTTGGGGTTCGGACAGGGCTCTGTGTGATTTGGTCGGTCTTGCGGATGAACTCTGATAGAATATCTCGCAAATCGCTCGCTCGTTTGACGAGGACCTTGAGGCTGTTTGTGTCAAAATGCATACGCCTGTTGGAAGGGGGGGTCTCCAATACTGGCTCATAATGAGCCGATTGTTGCATGGCCTCCACAACGGTTCGCACAACGCCGTTCACGTCGTGCGCCATGCTCAGCTTGGCCTCCGGTGTTATAGGGCGGCTGGTCCGAGTGCGTGGCTCATCATATAGTGGTACACCTCCGCCAAATATATCATCGTCGGGAGAAAAGACAGAACGTCTCCTCGGAGAGGGTCGGTCTCGGACAACTGTCGTCTTGGACATGGCGGGCTCACGGCCATCCAGAGCAGCATCTAACCGGTCCAGGGATGCGACATCGAAACCGTCATCGAAAAATCGTTCATTCGTTTCAGAACCGTCAACAGAGGATGCGTCCTTGTCTCCTTCCATGGCATCATCATCATCGGGAGATGCCAGAGCGATAATACCCTCTGCTTCCTTCCACAAGGTGTGGTATGGGCCACTAAGAATATTCAAGTCTCGGCCGTGTCGGCAGAGACGCTGCAGATCGTTGACCAGTAGTGATAGCTCGCGAATTTGCCCCGAGTGCGCCTTGACGCTGGGTTGTGTAGCTTGGATTGACTCGGGTACGGCAAAGTGGCCATCAGCGTGCTTGCCACCTCCGAGGCTTCCACTAAATTCAAAGTCGTCGTCCCAGTCCTCGCTAATTGGTTTGGTACCCATTCCCCAAGTTCCGTATTTGCTCCCTGTCGATTTTGACTCCTCGGGAGGGTCATGAACAACGGGCACGCTCTGGCTTCGGACGTGAGTTGGGGCTGGTACCTTACGGACAACAGGGCGGCCGCCTCTAGCATCTGTCTCCTGGTTCGTGTATGCCGTTCTCGGTCGCGCAGAGGGTTTGTTCAGGTCCTGCTTTGCATAAACAGACGGCTCGCTCCAGTCAAACAGATTGCTCAGCGGGCGTTCATTACGAATATCGATGACCCCATGTTCCATCATACCATTCCCACTTATGTTAGCCAGAGCAAGACGGACATTTGGATTGATTTTTCTAGAGTTGGCCGAGCTGCCTTTGGAAGGTGGGGACAGGGCATTGAATGGGCCATCAACATCTTTCGTCCAGTCTTCGTCAAAGTCATCATCAATTGACATACGGCCAAGTCCTTTGGCGGCCAGAGAGTAGTCATGTCTGGATGAGTCGGTGCTAAATCGAGGTTCGGCTGGCTGGTCTCGGTGAGCTGCAGTACGCACAGGTGTAGAGAACGCCTCGTCCTCTTCCATAATTTTATTGCTCGCGTCCCAGTCCTGACCCAGGATTTCTTGAATCGACAGCCGCTTTGCTCTGCCATTGCCAGCGGTGCTGGGAGGGGACTCATCATACATCGAATCCAGAGGGGTTTCGACATTCCTTGCGCGACCAGACGCAACAGTGCGAATTGAGTCAAACATGGTATCACTCTTGAAATCCGTATCTTCCTCATCTCCAGACATGAAGTCCCTCGGCTCGTAGTCTGAGCTGTCGACGATGGAAATTCTCCCATTGGGCTGTGATCTCAGTTGCGACATGGCTGTGGAGCTGATGGAGCTTCCAGAAGGCTGATTGGGCCTCACAGCCTGTTGGAAATAAGGGCCACCGGCAGACCCTAGTCTTGCCAACTCAACCTGAAAACTCGGTATTCTGGGAGGTGGGGTTGCTGGAGACGGAGAATTTCTTTTTCTTACTGAAAGCTGCGAATTCGGGGTTGGGAGACGCCCCAATGTCTCCCTGCTAAGAAGGTTTGGTTTGATTTGTGGCTCCTGGTTCGCACTCGCAATACGCCGGTTTGCAGCTGATGTTGGTCGTGAGCCTGTCAGAGGCTCAGAAACATGACGATGTGTTTCTCTCCCTGGTGTGAGATCACGCTTCGGTCGACGAAGGCTACCTGACGTTCGGGACACCCAGCTGCCTGCTGAAACAAAGGTCATTGAAATCGAGCGCCTAGCTCGCTTGGAGGGGGTGTTATCGACAGAGGAAACTTCAGATTGGTGTGATTCTGAGAATGGGTCGGGTCGCTCGTCTATTGTTACGGGACGGTGTTTCTCGGGCTGTGGAGAAGTGCCAGGAGCACCCGACACCATCGTCGGCTTGACCAGATAAGCTCCTCTACGCCTGTTCTCGCCAATCAGAATTCGCTTGGTACTCGTGCTCCAGGACTGCGGACTCTTTTCCAATGGTCGGCCGGGACTCAATGCAAAGTCGCGCTTCGTTCGCGAATGGAAAAAGGACCTCCAACCAGTCTTGCGATACGCCTCCAGGCCTCTCTCGAGTGGTGAGGGGAGGAGGTGGGGGCTACTGCGAACGTCCTGTGCCGGGCTCGGCGTATCCCTCGAGTAAGGCGAAGAGGTAGGATCCAGGTAGGATCGAAATGATTGCGGCGTCTCAGACCTCTGGTCGCTCGTGGCGGGGCGCCTCAAACCAGCGAAGTTGAATTTGGATCGCAATCGTGTGTCCACGGAACGCTCGTCGTTTGTGCTAGACTGTGTTCGTTTTACAGACCTGCTTGACTGGTGCGGCGTAACAAATGAGGACGATTGAGGGAGCACCGGCGAACTGGGCGCATGGGGAAAAGTGGTCGGTGTCGAATCGGGGCCAATGCTTGACCTTTGGCTCCCTTGTCGCGACAATGGACGAAGGGAGAGTCGCCTAATCCAAGAGGCATTTGACTTTGAAGAGGAGAAGGACGCTCTTGGTGTCTCGGGTATCGTGTTAAACGAGGACTCCCCCTGTTTGATGGAGGGTGCTCTAGACCGTGGATTGCCTGGGGAAGTTACCTGAGAAGAGCGAGGTCTCTGGTATCTAGATAGGGGAGGTCTTGAAACAACGGGGGACGGTGGTACGGAGTATTGCTGCGGTTGTGCTCCAGAGGTAGAGGCGGCAGAGCTGGTCCCAGGCCGGAAAAAGGATGCACGGCGAGTTGGTGCTATTGAAAACGACTGTTGATTATGTAGTCTTGTCGTAGAGTGCGACGCTGGCCGTCCGGTGGAGGGGGGAGGGTCTACAACTTCGCCAAAGACCAGGCCACTGGCCGCAGCAGCAATCGCAGTACCGGCTCCCACCAGCTACACAGGTTCAGATGATTAGCTCCAGATTTCGCCGGGAGGAGGCGGGCGGCAGGCAGGCGAGAGGCCGGGGAAGGGATACACGGGAGGAGCGTGTGAAAATCAATCATGAAGGGAGGAGGAGGAGGCGGCGGGGAGGGTCAAGTTTAAAATTGAACGAAGTTGTCACTAAGACTAGTGAGGTTCCATCGGCGGGAGATTGAAACTTACACTTGGAACCGTCTGCATGGTTGCTGAGGGCTTCTACGGGTCGGCAGAAACCCTACAAGCAAGCATTCTATGAGAGTGAGATCGCGGTGGCCAGGTCCAGCGGAGAATACATGGTCAAGTCGTGGGCGGTGGTGATCGGTTCGTAGCCCCAAGAAATGCTGTAACTGATGCGCGGAAGAACGAATGGACGGTCCTGGCTGTGTTTCGCAGGGGAAGGGGTGTTGGGTGTGTGTGTGTGGTGAGTTTCGGTCCAGTAGGCGCGAGTACAAGCAAGGCCGAGTCTGCTCTACTCTGTTTGCGAGGAGCGAGGACAACGGCGGCGGGACGGGATGGGATGGAGGACGGTCCAGAAAAACAAGCGAAGGAAGAAGGACCAGATTCGCCAAAGGAGGCAAAAACAAGAAGAAAGACGAGACGGCGGCAGGCGACCAGGAAAAAGACCAAAGCAGTTCCGTGCGAGGGACAGGTACGGACGGTACCTTGTGGTCTTTGGAGATTGCGAACTGAGATTTTGGGCGAGATGGATCGCCTCTGCAGGGATGATGCCGATGCCCCAGCCCAAACCGACGAGTACCAGGGCAGGTGCTATTAGTGGGCGGAGCCGCTGTAACTTAACGCTGCAGTGGTCTAGGAGGCAGCCCTCAGGGAGCGGACAGGACCATGGTATTTTAGGGAGCTGGAACACTGGCTTCACTGGCTCCTCCGGCCTGCAGCAGGCGCCCGGGCCTCAGTGATTGGGCCTCAGTGCTGTGGCTGCCGGGGCTCCCACAGGGCGAGAAATTGGAGTATGCACCTCATGGAAACAAGAACCCACCCCCAAGCCGCCTGCTGCTCACCACAGCTGCTGGGTGGTTCCTCCCGCGCATGATTACGCAGGTTCTGGCGCCCATCCGTTGGCTTAGCCCGGGGCTGGGCCTGGCTGGAGCTGCAGCCGTCATCAGTCGCTGTATACCCTAATTCCGAACAACCTATCAGCTCGTCTGACGGACAAGCTTCTTGTGACAGAGTTCAGCTAGCCTTGGAGCCTCCAAGCAGGGGAATCGCTGGCTCCTGGCCGCCCCTCGTGTCCTATTATTGCCGATGCCCAGCGCTCGCGCCCACCCAAAGTCAATTGGGCGCTGCGCAACCGTCGACATCGGCCAACCGTTCCACGCACCTCATTCCACATCTCACCACACTTGCACTCGCTAGCGCCAGTTTCGGTGTCGACATATCTGCTAACTCCCAAGTCTTGCATAATGGCTACGCACCAACTAGTCGCCAGCTCGAGGCCGCCCGGCGTCTGGAGTTGTTGCTGATGTACCCAGATGTTCTCTCACCTCTCACACCACTAAAAGGGGATCGGAACACCCTATTCGTACAGTGGCCATGATTCGACGACACATCCACATAACTTATTCGCATATGACGGGCGGGGACCCTAGATGCTTCGATCACTGCCCATTGGAGAGAGTAGTGGAGGGGCTTTGTAAGTGCAAGTTGAGTGTGTGCTGAACCCCTTCCCCAGCAGCAGCCGCCACCACAGCGTGCCAGAAAGTCGTACAACGGTCGCCAGCATACGCAATCGATGCTACGATACTCCTCGATACCTAGTGCCGATGGTGCTGGAGCGGTGGGCTGCAAATCACAATCATGATGGGCTCGTCACTTTCATGCACCTATCTGAATGGGGAAAGCCACGGCCGGACCTTGTTTTCTGCTAGCAGCGCCTGGGGTCCGTCTCCTACAGGCCGCAAGCCGTAGGGAACTACTTGCGTCTGCGACTGTGCCCTTGCAAGCGACCTGCAGGTGGATACAAGAGTGTTAGGTACTTATACGGGGATGGGGACGGGCTTGAGCGAATCTCACCCATACATAAAGATGTGTACATACATACATACACACAGGCAGACGTGCATTCCCTCCGACGGGGGAACTGCTCCGTTTTGCATGCCAATAAGCTACATAAATTGCATACATATACATGAGCAAGGTGCATCATACCGCAGGCACAATGTAGGTACACGCTGATGGGAGGGACCCCTACCAAGATCTCATGTCGTCTGACGCCCAGAGCAAGCTCGTGCCCTATATGCTGGGTTTATACGTGCATACGTACTCTGTAGTGTGTTACAAACCCCGTCCGTACCTGGCCAACCTACCAGGGCGAGAGGCAACCCCCGTGGTATGAGGCGAATATACCTGTGAGCTGATGGGCAACGCTCCCGGATTTGCGGTGTCTCTGTCTGTTTGTTTGTTTGTTTGTTTCGGGCCATCTAAACGGGTGGCCCTCCTCTGCGTAGGCCACCGGTGTTGATCCAGTCGGCCAAGGCCCAATGTAACGCAGCTTGCTGGCTGGAGAAAATAGAGCTACTGCAGGTTTTGTCACAACATATTGGCATGTTTTCTTGCAATACATAATAATAACAACAACAAAAACAACAATAACAATAGATCGCGACCACGGCCGGATAGGTCTCAGACAGAGCCGTGCCTAGTCCCCGATGCTATTCCGTTCGTAAATCTTCAATGGCCCGCGACTACGTATCTGTTGGTAGCACCACATGTAGGTAATATGTCATTCCGTCCCTGCATTCATCCTCGCTGAGGAGCGGCAGGACAATGTTGGGAATCTGTGGTACGACACAGCTCTGCACATCATCCACCGCCAATTGAAGAGCCCCGTTGGAGTCGGACCTGGACGCTGTGGAATGCAACCCTGCCGTGTCGGAGGAGGCTGCTTCCCCCACAGTCGATAGCTTCGCTTTTCCTTCCAGATCTAGGTTTGGCTCCAATGGCTCAGACACTGCCCGCACACGCACAACATTAGGCGAGGATCTGCCATGGTTTTCTCATAATAAGCAATCTCCATCCACGGCGCTGACGGGGACGGGAAATAACAAGCCACTCGTCCTGCAATTCCGATTTGTTCCACGGTTGCCCGCCGTGCGTGTAATAAATAAATAGTATTCTCAACATATTAGCAGCCGGCGATACGAGAGGTAAGCCCTGCTGGGGACAACCTGCAGCATCCCGTGCATCGGTTGAGGCACAGGAAGGGTGGCCGGCCACAACCACAGCCTCCTCCCTGCTAATCTGCGTACGAGCAGTACTTACAACTTCCCAAGGTATTGGATGTACCCAACTGGGAGCACCCTCGAGTCTGTGCAGCATCCTAAATGCCACACCTGAATGAAGCCTTGGCCCAGTGGCCAATATCACCGGCTACTATTCCTTCACTTCTTTTTTTTGCTTTTCTCTCCGCTGACCGATCTTACCCAAGTCTTGGCTGCGGCAGGGCATTCCTCGAGGAAGACTTTGCTATTATGACTTGCGTGGGAATAAGAGCTACCAACAAGTCTGATGTGCATGAAGAGGCGAAACATGCTACCCCATCTGGGTTAGTGAACCAACATCTCATATCCACGATCCAGGCACGAAAGATTATTCCAAGTTCAGAAACTGTTTTGCTGATATTTTCAGCGAGGCCTGTTTGCCGTGCAGGTTCATCCCAATTTAACTGGGAAAATCCCCGAACCTGTTCGTATCTCCACGCAGGATGGATGTGCCTACCCACACATGATGACATCTACGTGCGTGAGGTGTGCCAGCTTCAGTGGGCATCACGAGTAGAGTATTGATGCGTTAATGCAATGCCAAAGCTAGTTTCTGGGCTGACGCCACCTTCAAAAGTGCTGCCATTGGTGTCGAGACTTCTGTCCCGACAATGTGGGGAGCTCAAGCCTTCTCTTCATGTTGGTAATTCTCTCACCCACGTCCGATACTTCTCGCCGATCCAGCCAGAGTACATCTGATGAACCATGACTACCTGCTGCAGGAGACGCCATGCTAGTGATGCCCCATCATGGAGAACCACCGGCGTTAGCACTATCAGGTGACCATGGGACTTGCGGAGTGCCCGTCACTGGTGTCTGGGACATAATACCAGGCCACTATCATGTTTGATTGCGAAGTCCCGGGCAGAAACAAGAAGAAGGGTTGAAAACGTGACATCTACTACATATTCATGCCATGGGGGTGCCAACCTCGATCGATCCACATCTCGTGTATCAAACACACATGGCAGACCAATTTCATTGAGAAAATTTGTGTCTCAGAGAGCCAGACGGCTCTCCGGATGTGCTCACATCCAAGTCAGAGGGCGTCCTCCTCAGCCAGTCGCGGCATCCGCTACGACGAGAACAGCATGGCGGCCTCCAGGCGGGCTGCGCTGTGTGATAGATCTCAGATCTAGAATGGTGCAAACCACAGCCAAGCCCTTTCGGTACAGGCTCCCAAACAGCCGGCTCAGCGAGGTGAGGTGACGGTGCCCACTCGCGTGACAGAGGCTAGACAATCCTGTCATCCTGCGCATCTGGTCCAGCTGAGAGATCGCCTAAGCATTAGTCTGATACCCTAGCACCGTCTGCGGATTGGCGTCACCCAGCTAACGCCCATCATCCAGCGCAAGCGAGGGAAGCAAACAAGGCCCTTCCTTCATAGCCGGCGGGGAAGGGAGCGAGAAAACCTGTAATCATCTTGGGGTGGCCGAATGCGGCATGTGCTTCGGTGCACCTGAAAGCTGGACACAGGCTTCCTGCGGATATCACGAGGCGCCCTCGTCCGTCAATTGCCACATCCGGCCGCGAGATTCGGGCTAGTGCTCATCCGCGGTCCACCAAGATTCAGCATGGGATTTTCGATTGTTTGTTTACACATGCGATGCGATGTGGTCGACCTGGCCCCGGCCCACATACATACGTCGTGCAGGAAATCTTTTTGCAGGGCCCCTGCCGTATGCAGTCAGGTGCAGATGGATTTTCAGGTGAGAACGCGTCCGGGACGCGCAGAGCCTGGCCCCGTTGACGCGTCGGCAATTGGCTTTGACAACCTGATTGGCGGCTGGCCGATTCACCATCACGTCATGCGCAGAAAGGCTGTCTGAAGTCTAACCAGGGTGACTGGAAATTCTCCTTAAGCCTATATGGCCATCCATGAAGAATCCTGGTAAGTTCGGAGGCCGCAATGGATCTTTACTG